GCCCGCCCCTTCAAGCTCCCGCGCGTCGCCGCCTCCCACGGCCGCGGCCGCGCCACCCCGCCCCCGCCGTCGCCCTCTTCTCCCCCGCCCTACAGGACGCCCGACGCCTCCAGGCCGCTGATGCTCGTCCAGAGCCCGCACCCCGAGCTGCCCTGGGTCACGGAGCCCAGCGCGGCGGGGAGCCCCGTCGCCGCCGCCGCCGCCCCGCACGGCCTCTTCCCCTCCGCCGCCGCGTCCGTCGCCAGCTTCAGGAAGTACCAGGAGGTAGCCGTGTCGGTACGCTATCATTTCTCACATCCCATTCCATACCTAGCTACTTCTCTCTGCCTGCCTGCCTGCCTGCTTGCCTGCTTCATCGGAACAATACACTCGTCTCGTGAGAGATTTTTTGTGGCGATGGTTCTTCTCGTTAGCGATCGTAAATTCGCCGAGAAAGCTTGATCGAGTCACTACCCAGGCATATTTGAGATGCAAATTATATGCTGCTGTCGTCTGTTGATCGAAAATTATTTCGGGTCATACATTGCATTGGGGAAACAAGCATGATTCTCTGATGTGCAATTGTCGTCGTGGCATTCCTTACATTACATGCTAGTGTAGTTTCTTCCCCAATTTTTTACGTGCCATGGAAAGCTCGGATTTATGGTTTACACTTCTCCTTTGGAGTTGCAAATTATTCGAGAGAGCCTGATCAGATCATAACTCTGCACTATTCGAGATAAAAAATATATATAATAGTGATCGAAATTATTCCAAGTAATACATTACATAGGGGCACATGTTTCTCTTTTACTACATTACATGCTAGTGTAGTTTCTGCGCCCGGAGTCTATGGTTTACCCTTCTCTCCCAACATTTTTGTTTCAGATTCTAGATAAAAGCGACTACACCGTGATCAGTGGGAACCCATACATAAAGAAGTCAGGTCCGTGCTCTTACACTGCTGTGACTGACTGTAAGTTCTGATTATAGAGTGGGAATCTTCATCGTGTAACTTCTCTAATCCATCTCAGGGTGGAGAAAAATATCGTGCTTCTACAATATCTCGTTTGAAATCAAGGACCACTCTATTGAATTTGATGACAGCCACAATGTCAACCGTGCTGAATTTCTTGTCAGGGCATCTATGCAGTATGTCATTTTGTATGCATTTGGAACTCATTCTGTTTTTGCAGATCCTCCAGTCATTGGTGCTATTAACTTGTTATTTTCTTTTTCCTATGTGTATGAAGAAGTGGCAGGTTCTCAGATGGTTGGGGTTCATGTGATCGGCGAGAAAAGAGATTCAACAAGCCAAACCATGATATCCCCAGTACAGCTGAAACCAGAGCTAAAAACAAAGCTTGTCAGGTAAAGAAGAATACATCCTCTGGTTTTCACCTTTATCTCATTTAGATTTAGATAATGGTCTCCTGTTTTGCCTTTATTTTTATGAACCAAAAAAGATCTATTACAGCATGTTCTCCGAGTTCTTTTTTTACTTAAGTTCCCTTGCAGCTACTACTTTGTAATGAATTGATACTGAAGTGTGAAAACTACATTAGTCAGTAAATTATTCAGCTAGGGTCTTCCCAAGGGAAAGAATGGTACATTGGTACTGTATATGGTTATATTTTCTCGATAAAGAGATCATGTATTTTAAGATAAGAACAAATCTTGTCAGGTAAGGGAGAGTCCATCCTCTGTTTTGTCACCTTTGGCCTCCTTTTTTGCTCTGCCTGTAGTTTTGTGGACTACAAATTCTGCTCCAGTATGGTCTCCTAGGTGTTTTTACTTAAGATTATTACTTGATGAATTTATGCCGAAGTGTAAAACCTTCCTGAGTAAGCAAAGGATCTAGTTCGGACTTCCCAGTAGAAAGAGTGTTACATTGGTACTGTGTATGGCATTCTTGTTTGATGAAGAAACGATGAGTTTCAAGATATGCACACATTACATGGTTCAGTAGTTCCGAACCAGATACCAATACGAATATGCGATACAATGCCATGTTAATTTGGGGGGTCTGGCCAGGCCACAGAACACTGTGAGATCTGTACTGGCCCAAGGTTACTGCAGAACGAAATAAACAAGAAATCTTGCAGAAAGGACCATGTGCTGCCTCGGTGCTTACTGGCATGATGGTTAAGATTTTTGATCAAGTAGAGTTAGTTTCGTCCATAAACTGGGCCGAAGATCTCACAGAGGTTGACTTGCTGGCTTGTGAGTTGCCAGCTCCGTAGTTGATTGCTAACCAGAGGGTAGTGACAGCCAATGTTCCTATTCCTGCTTGTGTGCTTGTTTGCTATTCTTCCTGTTCCTGTTACGAGACGACCTCGGCTCAAGCTGACCCCACACCGAACCAAGTGTTTGATATGATTTCTGACTGGTTTCATACTGGAGAGTCACTACTGTCTGTAGTAAGCGCAGTTCTGAGATGCAGGTTTTAACCATGTGCAATGCATTCAGAATTTCTTTTTCCGAGTTGTGCGTTAATGTTTGACACTTATGTCCATATATATTGCGTTCAGCTGAGAAGTAAAGCTATATGCGGATGTTTAATCGCTCCAGTTGTAAATGTCTTCCTCAGGATCTTCTTGGCATCGGCCACAACCGTCCGGGATGAGCGAGGCGTTGGTCCAAGGTCTGGCTGAGACACTAGCAACTCTTCTGTCCTGGTGAACTGAAGACTGTATATACACTGTAAGCTGAAGACTGTAAACATTGAGGCACAAGTGCCTTAACGCAGGACCAAGGATGATAGGACACCAGATGTGAGCTCACTCGTTTTCGGATGCTTCGAGAAAGCGCGATCGTTGCGTCGCTGACGTACATTCCCCATTAGCAGCGAAGTTTCAGTGGCAGACATGAGAATGTCAACTGCTACCTCAGCCACTGTGGATCTCTGTAGACTCTGGATTCTAGTTTTTGGGTCTCAGTTTAGCTGTATTACGCGTGGGAGATCGCAGCCAGGTGGTGGTCGCACATGGGAAGAGTCTGGCTTCACGCTTTGGTTGTCATGCTGTTCTTGGGCACGGATGCACGATGCCCGGTGACTCAGATGGTAGGGCTGCGACGGGTGTCGATTGTTTCAGTTGTTTGGATGCGTCCCTTCAGAGATGCAGTGGGTATATGATGCACATTTCTTCTGTCATTTTTTGTGTGTGAGGGGGTCATTTTGTAGATTTCAGTATCATCCTCTGAAACGTCGGAATAGATTCCAGTCGAATCAACTGCAGACTTTGTTAAACAAAGTCGGCAGGTTGATGAATTTGTTTGGTCAATCAGTAATGGACGGCTAAAAAAAAGCTGCCCGTTCAACGTTAAGGTGAATTTGTTTGGTGGGCAGCTCAGGAATTGTGCGAGGGACGGATAACCCTTTGTCCACCCTTCATCCACAAAAAAAACGTTAGAATAGCACTTGTGCACAAGATTAGGGGGAGAATGTTAGGAGTAATCTTGATTGATTAGTAAGATCGTGAGAGTCTAGTACTGTTCGAGTACTGCTAGAATGTCCAGTCTATGTACGGGTAGGTTGAGCAGTTGTGCTAGCTTGCCGTGTCCTAGTGTACGTAGGTAGAGTCCTAGCAGTAATCAGATTAGATTAGGAATCCAAGTATAATTAGAGAGGTTGAGGTCGGTAGCACTTGTTCGGTTGCTGCATATATATATATGCACAACTCTACGTGAGTTTTGTATCAACCGTGAGAAAAGGAGAAAATAATAAGAGGGAAGAGAAAGGCACGACACGTGCCTTTGGCGAAAGTTTTCGCGTGTTCCTGTGTTCGTTCTGATTTGATGTGATCGATCTTGTGGGCGAATCCCAACATAGCAAAGGTGATGTCGTTAAGAGCATCTCCAATAAGTCCGATAAAGAACTATCCGTAAAAGTGGTTGTACGGGTGTCCATATAACGTAGGAAAGATTTAGAGGTGAGCATCAGTAACAAGTTCCTTATAATTTTCCTAAAGTGGTTTCTGGCAGTGGCGGCAGACAGCCCATCGGCGATGGCGGCATGGTGGTCAACGAAGGTGGCGGCACCACGTGACACGTGTGGTAAGAAATCAAACAATTCAAAAAAAAGGTGGCGGCGCAGTGGGTATGGTGGCGACACGATGACGTGGCACTTTTATGGGAAGGTTTATGGAAAAGGATTATCTTTCCATAGATGGAGGTGAGGTTAGACTGATTATGTGGTGTCCCCTACAAATATCTGGCATTTGCGGAACTTATTGAAGCATCTTTTTGGGCCTAACCCTTCCTAAATCATAAATTTGTACGAAATGGGACTTGTTGGAGATGCTTTTAGGAATTTGACAAAGCGACAACCCTTGATCTCTTCCCCTCTTCATCCCTTCATCTCACCTTGCAAAGCAAAATCCAAAACCTAACGAATTTAGTGAGCAAGTCTAAATAACCACTACTAGGGAAAAGCCTATACACAGAATCTTAGCAGCAACGCGGCTCAAAAAGGAGCGTTGCTGCTAATTAGTAGTAACGCGTGTGCGGAAAACTCGCTGTTGATAAATTTTTTAGCAGTAGCGCGCTCTGTGTAAACCGCGCTGCTACAAATATCGATCGGCGGTGTTCACCTAACTCCATTTAGCAGTAACGCGGTGGCCCGAACCGCGCTACTGCTACGGATGTAGTAGTAGCGCGCTTTTACTGAGATCGCTGATGCTAAATTTCAAATTGGCACACTTTTTTGTCACTGTTAGCAGTAGCGCCGTGGCCCAAAGCGCGCTGCTGCTAATTCCTTATCAGTTGCGCGTTTCTGCTCCCGCGCTACTGCTAACCCGCACCAACCCACCACCTTTTCCCCACCCGTCCCTCCCCTCCCCCTCCTCTCTTCCCTTCCCCCTACCTCCCCCACATGCTCCCACTCTCACTCTTCTTCTTCCTCAATACTTCTCCCCCATTACTCTTTCTCTTCTATCCATCTTTCTCTCTCTTCATTACTCCTACCTAACTACACCACCTCCA